CCATTGGCACACAGGATCCTATATTTGCCAATTACCTAGTTTGTTGTGACGATATCATGATCTACATGCGCCTTCCAGTCTTCCCCGATTATAACCATGTTATCTTTTGGAAGCAATGTTAACTATTGAAGTCTTTGAACTTATTGCTGGTCATCTGTGCATAAAGTTGGAGCATATACATTGATAACCGATGTAGAACACTTGCCTTTAAAGTGAGCATAGACCATAAGGTCGTTTACTGGTTTCTGCTCAATCAAAGCGGAGTGGGCTTTTTCAGATATGATAATACTAAACTATTTCTTCACGAGTTATACTACAATGATTAAGCCAGTACCTCTGCTCAGAGCTTAATAATTATTCGGGAACCGACATGAGAAAGGCGAGCTCCGACAAACAGCCACTCGCTGTTTGGAAAGTGTGTGCAGTGATCGCTTTGGCTTGCAACATCCACAAGCATTGATATTCCATGCTCCTATGACTAATAGCTCATCACACATACAGAAAGTCCTTTTCTTTGGTAGGTATCGTGCAATTACTCTAGTTGCGAGCATAAGCCTTCGGATCTTTTTACTCCTGGATTGTATTTATTGCATGTACCGAAGGAAAAGGGAAGGGATATCATATGCGTCGAAGGGCACTAACGCTGTTTCAAGAAAATCAGACCATTTCACCATAGAATCACTTGGTTACTGCTCGATCCCTAGCAGCCATTCGTATTTTCGATATGACAGGTTTATTCCTGTCGAAGACAAGGATAAAGTAGAAAAAATTCAAATTGGAAAAAAGCATCGTATTCAAAGAATTCTAATATTCAATAATCTTTATTTTTTTATACTTTATTTTAACAGAACGATTGGAAGATCCCACCGCTCACAGGTTAAAGAAATTTCATTTAAATCACTAGAAATTAGTGAAAAGATACGGATGTGCATAAGGAAGCAAAGAATTTTGATTTAAACGAAAATGTTCTCCTGGTTATTTGCTTATGTCAGGCTTACGTTCTTGTATTCTTGTTTTAAAAATTTATTATTATAAATTAATTAAGATGGAATTTCGACACAGCATAATTGGTTTCAGATCACCGATGGTACAACGCTACGATGGTTATTATGATCATTACTCGAGTGATACAAGCAGCCAAGATGCTCGTTCCGGATCTATAACACCGATTGTAGATAAAGAAGCAAGGTATTTTTGCATTTCAGTTCGATTATTTTACTTTTATCCGATTCGTATTCTCTAGGATCATTTAAAAAATTTGTGTCAATCGATTCCAATATGTTATATCGAAATGTTTGAATTATTTTCGTAAGAATTAAATTTTTTAAATAATTTGTAATATATATCAATCTAATACGCAGATGAACAGCGATGTATAAACTATATACTATAAATTAATGGACTTCGGAGAGAAAATTAGATTTCTAAATTAGATATTAGATAAAGAAAGTCGTTAAAAGTTAATAAAATAATTAATAATTATTGTAATTACATAAAACTGTGGTTCCAATTTCTTTTAAGAAGCATTTGGAAAAATGTCTTAACCAAAACATTACGGACCAGGTTAGCTGTGTGGATAGTTGCTTATTACTGCGTTAAGTGGCACGGTTTCCTCCGCCCGACAGGAGTGAATAAGTCATTAAAAAATCTGGCTGATGGGGGTGGTTTAAATGCAATTTTTAAACGATTCTCTGATAAAAAATTCAAACCAATGGAGCAAACCTAAACATTTAAACCGAACCTTAACTCATCGGTTTTTTCATATACAAAATCCAAGAGAATAGCTAAAATTTAATTGAAAAATTTAGACAATTTAAATATTTAAAACGATTCAAAATCTAAAATGAAAGGCTGAAATCGCTGAAAAGACTAAGAATATTTTTATAAAATTTTTTTCATTTAAACCATTTAAGTTTTTTTATTTTATTTTTATTTTAAGAGAAAAAACTCTGAGCTTTAAAATGTCGTTAAATTTTCCTGAAAAATTTTTTTAAAACATAAATATTAGTGATTATTGCAAGGATCTTTGCCAGACAGCTACAAGAGAGGAGGGGGGGGGGAGGGGAGGGGAGGGGAATACAAGTTGGTGCTCAGATTGAATGGAATGACTATTTCTTAAAAAAAATTATTTCAAATCTTATTCTGAACTATTAAATTATCGCATTTAACAAAGTTTAAAAACAAAGAAATAAATTTTTTTATAACCACTTTTACTAATAAAACTATAAAATTTATGACTAACGAAACATTTTTTTTCTTTTGAATTTTGAATTCTTTTGAATTGTAAAACTTTTTGAATTTTTATAAATTCTTTTTTTATAATAGATTAAATAAATAAAAAAATTTATAGGTTTCGTATGGAAACAATGGAAAGGCAGTTAGCTGGTCTATCTTCACTTGTACATTCAGCACTTGTCAGTAAAGGAATGAGTGAAAGCAGCCAACGAGACATGCAAGAACTTCGGCGACAAATATTCGCCCTTCATCCAGATGGTTTCTTATCTGATAGCAAATCTTAAAAAAAATTATTCATGCTCATTCCATTGGCTAAATGAATTTTTCAGTTGTTTTGGCCATATAAGTCTTGCGAGCAAATCTCATTAAAAGAATAAATTGTCTGCATATAAATTTTCCAACTTTCCAGTGAGTTCAAGCAGTGTGTTAAGCACTACGGATCCATCATTACCCGATTCCTCATCAGTGAACGGCGAAACGCAACGACAACTTATAAATTTAAAACGGCAAGCAAATGAAATTCACAATCAATTAAAACAAATACGAAGAAATTTTGAAGTAAACCTAAAAATTTATTTAAAAAATAATTGACACTTCTCGCTATTTAGCCTTTTGCTACGATAATTGATAAACTTGACAATTGGTGGTCGCGCATTTTCGCGTTGTTTTTTATCCAAAAATTTTTACAGATGAGCTCACAAGATGCTCAAAATGTACTTCATAATGCATTTGAAAAAATCCAAAAGCATCTGATAAACCATATGAAAATATTGGAAACATCAAAATACGAAAATTTTTTAAAAAATGAGCGAACGGATCATATAACAAACATTAATGCACTTCAGAAATCAATTCAGTAAGTTTTGAAATGGCACTTATAACAGAATCATCAGACGTTTATCAGATACTTATTTAAGACATTTATCAGATACTTATTAGAAAAAACTTTTAAAAATTGGCATTTTTCCCCAATTATAGTAAAATTTTGTAATGACTAAGAGGCTATTTTCTCAATTGGTATTTCGGCGTTTCAAATGTAACACTTGTTTATTGATGGTTTTTTATTTTTATCTAAAATTCATTTAGATTATTCGAAGAGGACGTAGAAGACATTAGAAAATTGGTTCTGAATACAAATAGAAAGCTTAAAATAACCGAAGTTGAAGCATTCACTCAGTCTTTAACTAAAATTGGACGGAATGCGGCTCGATTAAAAAGTTATCATATATGTTATCATCAAATATTAATAGGATTTGAATTATTGATTTGAAAACGAATTGTGTTCAAATAGATAATTAATAAATTTCAGCACAATTTCCTGAACTTCAACGACAAATTGAAGCAAATATTAAAAGAAATATGGAAAAAGTTGTTGAAGAGGAACGGTTTTTAAAAGAAGAACCAAAGCAAATCGACCACTGTTTACACCGCTGTAAAGCATTAGCTAATATGATGGTTACAATGAAGAAGTTGGCAATGTTACAAGATCCAGACATTAATAACACTTATAAATATGAGCTGAATAAAACTGGATCATCAACGAAAACAGAGAATGGCAGTCCTACCGGATATCCAGTCATAGATCCACTGACGAATCGAATCAATGAAAGAGATGAAATTAGCGTTGTATCCTCAGGGAGAACAGAAAACTTACCGGTCGAATTTCAGAGAGAAATAGAAGGACCCGATCAACCGCCACCTGTACCACCTTCGCCAACAAATTACAACGTTCCATCGACAAGCGAAAAAGGCGAACCTCATGTATTGGATACAATACTAGATGAATTAACCAATACTATGACGCGAGACCAAAAAGCAAAATCACCAAATGCGATGACAAAAGCTGCTCCACCAAAACCTCCTGAAAGATTTTCAACACCTGATGCTCGCAATCGTTTCACTCGTTCACAGATAGAAGAAATGCAACGCCGTGTGATGCATTCCGTCTCACCAATTCAAGGACTTGCTGTTCAAGCGACATATTTTGCAAATGGACGAACGCCAAAAGAAGCACTGGTTCATTCTCAATCAGCTCCATCAACTTACTCACGACAAACAAATGAGAACAATAACACGAGACACTAAACACGATGTTCCTTTAACGTTTTTGCGTTTAAATGCGTTGTTCGCGAAATTTTCGCTCAAATTGTATGCAATATGCACGAAATGTTCTCAGTAAAATTTTGCTTAAATAAAAATAGGAACTTTTACTTTTTTCATCTATTTGTTATTAAATATTCAAAAAAATTAAAAAATATTAAATTTAAAATTCTTTTAAAAATTGAAATATTCGAAAAAATTTCATCTATTTGTGATTCATCCGCACTGATAATAATAATAGGTAATAATTTTAGAACAGAACCAAGAATCGATAATTAAATTTTTCGAAAGTTCTACATGATAACATGAACCTCTTTAAAATAAATGAAATCCAGGTGGTGGCGAGCATATATCCTATATATGTCGCTGTATACAATACATGGTACTCTCTGGTGAAGGTGCCCCATGCCCCAACGCCAGCCAAACCAGAAGTGATCAGAAATCGTGGATTGAAATGACACATTGTTTCATATTTCTTTCCCAAAATTCTGTGGGAAAACAATCATATAACCAATTTAAACAAATTTTAGAAAATATAAAGTGAGCACCTTATATATATAAAGTGAGCATTTTAAATGAATTTTTTCGAATTTACTCTCAATAGTTTGATAATTCTATTAATCATGCCCTTTTATTGGAACTAAATGGCGTAAGATATGACTAAATTTTTAGAGGAGCCAAAAAATTGCAGCGACAAACAACAATCTAAGATTTATCTAAAAATTTATACGATTCAGCGAGCATATCATCATACTGCTTTAAACGATTTTCAAAAATTATCAAATCCTTTTCGAATTGTTTTTTCTTAAACACTTTGTAAAATGATATTCCCATAAATGAAAATTGGATCTGCAAGCAATATTTCATGAGATAAAAAATAAAAAATCAAAAATCAAAAATTTGACCGCCATCTTAATCATAGTTGTGAAACCGATTCTTTTATTGGAATCGATATTTAAAAAATTTTAAACTGAAAAAAATCAAAATTAAGCCAAATAAAGAAGTAAAAAATTTCCTCTGAATGAAAACAATGACATGTACAATTATTTTTTAAGCAGGACAACTTAAAAAGTGCAAAGGCTAATCGAATTCTAGCTTTCCTAAATAAAGCATACAAGTATAAAAACATGGCAAACATCAAAGTTTCCAAGTAAAAAAAATGCAGAAATTTATGAGAGATAACTGCAATTTATCAGTCTTCAGAATTCTAACTTATAAACTGAAAAAATATATTTGATGTTCCATTTAATGAAAAAAAACCTTGAACAATTCGAATGCTGCACCAGAAAACACACCGAAAAGAAATAAATATTCGTAACGCTGGCTTATTTTAAAAGAAATATGCTTTAATAGACCAATCTAAACGAACTCAAAACAAAAATCAGAAGAATTTTCAAAATTATCGGTGAAAGAACATTTTAAATTGAACATTTAAAAAGAATATCAAGAAATTTAAAAACAAATTTTATCTCTACAATAACAAAATTCATTCAGAAATAAGAAAAACGAACCATTTTCTTTTCTGGGCGTCCAGTTTTAATATTGTATTAATATTAATATTGACACTGAAGTATAAGCACAGAATTGCAAAAAAACAAAAAAATAAATGAAATCATAAAATGATGAAAGTATGAAATGGAATAATCCGTGAATTTCAATTTATTAAAACACATTCCACTCAAATTAAATTGGTAAACTCTAGCGCATCATAGGTTTCACAAACTAAAAACCAATTAAAAGGGATTCTTAAAATCATTTGAGCTTAATTTGGATCTTAAACCAAAATACAAGACAGCTTTAGACTTAATCCGTGAATCTGACGATTAAAGCCAAAAATTATATATGCAAATACCTTTATCTAACAGAAAAACCCGCTCGATCTGCTTCGATTAGCTCCAACTCTAGTAGTTCACGTTCATTCTGATTAATCGGCCGAATATATTTTACGTAAAGATATGATTTTACGACAACGTAGGACGCAGAAAATAATAAAAGGCCGAAGATTGATCGAACGGTAACTAAAATTAAATTTACCCTATATTAACTAATGTGCTGAAATCGAGAATTCTTCAAAAATATTGATCAAAATCAGGTGGCCATTGTATTAGAAGCATTATCGTCTTTTAACAACATTTCCAATCTGGCGAACCCATTAATATTAATAAGAAAGCGTTTCGCAGGAATCGTTTGGAAAAACAGGTATAAATAGAGCACTCACATCACTCTCAATGAAAAATTTACTCTCGTCAAGCGAAAGACATCGAACTTAACTTTTATAACTATTTAAAGCATCGCCAATATATTTTCTATTTTTTGAGCTCGCATAAATGAAATGAAATGAAAAGAAAAACCTTTATGTAAAATATCCAAGCGCCTATTTGTAAAAATTCGTCGGTATAAAGGTCTTCGATCTTCTCTTAATTTTGCTGCATTTATAAAGGAAAAACGCATTCAGAAACGCATTAACTAAAAAAAGATTTATACTAAACTAATGAAAAGATTAATTTATATTTATATTCATTATTCATATTCAAAGCAACATATATATATATATATATATATATATATATATATAAATAATATATACATTGCCTATTTACTAAAGTCTATTCAAAGCGTGCTAGCAAAATATTGTATAACTTGCAAAGCAAAATCACACTGGAACGATCACTCCACACTCTTCCTAAATAGCATGTGGATATCACCTGCTTGTCGGAGATCCGTGTTCTCCTCGGATCTCCAACAGAAGTGCTTTATTATGATAGTGTTTCGGATAGCTTGAGGAGAAATGGCGCAGCTACTGTCATGCCTGAAAAAGCCCACTCCACTTTAACTAAGTTGAAACCATTTGACGACCGTATCGCCTATAACCGCTTTAAAGAAAAGTTGTGAAATACTGCAAGTTGTGTCCGCTTATTAATATATGCTCCAACTTTGTCTGCAAAAGATGACATGGTTATAATCGGGGAAGACTGGAAGGCGCATGTAGATCATGATATCGTCACAACAAACTAGGTAATTGGCAAATATAGGATCCTGTGTGCCAATGGGAAACGGCTTCGCTTTGGTGAACAATACGACTTTTTGTTATTGATACATGTTTCCGGTATCGAAAGAGACGACTATTAACATAGAGCTTTCCTGATAACCAACACTTCAACCAGATTGATTATATCATAAGTCGTCGCTAGAAGAGTTCCATACTCGTTCTTATCGTGGCGCTGAAACTAGCAATCTTCATAGAAAACTCGTAAAACTTACTTCTCATTAGAAAAGTGTCACAAGATTTTTCGACTATTTCAATCTAAAAAATTTGGGGACATTAACTGCATTTCAAACCGAATTATTGAAGCACCTCAGAGAAATGAATATAAATAACATCTCTAAAAATGGAGATGAATAGAAGTTTCAACTAAAGGAATATCTTCGAAAGTCAACCATTTCCACAGTGGGTTGGATATCAGAAGCAACTGCACAGTTGTCTGAAAAGGCTGCCAAAGCACGAATGGCAGGAGATCTTGTTTACTGAATGCTTCGAAGAATTACAATTATAGTAACACGATGGGACAGAAATAGCTATTAGAGCGATATGGTTAGAAAACTATTCGGTCTTCTTACAAAAAAAGTAATTAAGACTTGAGGAACGGTCAAAATGAAATGATAAGGGAGAGTAATTCTGTGACTGTTAAAACTAGCAAAACTAGTAAGGATCGCCTTATAAGATGGAAGGAATTCTTTAAGGCCAAACTTAACCACGAAGCGCCATATTTTGTCCAGGTCTGATCCGCTCGCCAAATCATATGTTTGTAATTGCGAACAGCCAACTAAAGAGGAAGTAATCATTATTATACATAGACTAAAAGCCCAAAAAAAACTCCAGGAGAAAATGGCCTTCACGCTGAACTCTCCAAGTGTTTTTCATCGTTTTTCATGCAATATCTTCAATAAATATATACTCTGGTATGGAATAAAGAAATAACAGATAACTGGAACAAAATAATTATTGAGCTCCCAATAGTTAAGAAAAATGACAGGACATATATGATAATTATTGAGAAACCACCTTACAAGACGCCTCAGCGAGAATTTTTGCTTCCCTTCTACTGAACAGACTTGTGGCAGTATGAGACAGTATGATGCGCTATAAGCATGCTGGATTTAGACCAAGACGCGGTTCAGACGCGTGCTGATCAGATATTCGCGTCAAGAAGGGTGTTGGAACATCGTTTCAAATATCGGCAATCCACCCTCATTTGTTTCATCGATTTTGCAGCTGCTTATTCGATGCGATTGACTGGATAATGGACACCGCTTGTCGGCACTCAAGAGATGGGCAAATCAGTCCAAAGTATAGCATCACAGGCCCTTGAATGCTGGTGATGTGGTCTTTTTTATTGAAAGTTGTAATGCAAATAATGTTAAATAATATGTCAAACTACAGCAAGAACTGGACTCAAAATCAATGTAAATAAAATGAAATCTTTTCGTCTTATATACAAGAAATTTTTTAATATAAAACACCTATTTTTATTAATTCATTGCTGGTTAAGGAAGAACAAGATTTTAAATAGACATATCCAGAAAAATTTATGGGTCCATCTAATCCCAAATGGCCAAATGAAAGCCAGAATTATAACCCGGATAACAATAGCCAGAAAATTAACGAAATCTTTATGGAGCCGTAGCGAAATCTCTATAAAAACGAATGTTCTCATCCATATAGCTGTTATTCGCTCGATCTTGTTATATGCGGGACATAACCAATGAGAGTAAAAGATAATAAGAAGTTACTTTCCATTGATCAGCCATGTCCAAAGACACATTTTACGAGTTTTACGAGCCGAGCAGAAAAATCTCACATGACGTTCAGATTCGCTCAAGTACTACTACCTGCATTAACAATACTATCACAGAGCGTGGCTTTCGCTGGTCAGGGCACTTTCTTTATCTCTCATCAAAGGGTTTCACACTTTTTTCGTTACTTGCTAAGTCCTGTGATGAGTGATCAAAAGTGAGGAAGAACCAGATTTTAAATATACATGTCCGGGAAAACTTATGGGGCAACCAAAAACTGGGTTGATGCAGTCAAGAATGATTTTGAGTGCATAACGGTACCAGCGATTCATGGACGATGGAAAAAGGAATGGTTTCCATCAGCGACCAGCGATGGCACTAGGCCGCGCTACTTGGCGACGTCTTATCGCCGTGGCCGGCGCAGCCAGTCAAACCACTAATGGTGAGAGCAGTTTAGAAGGAGAAGAAAGCGAAATCACAGAGTCGGAGCTCGTAAAACTTAACAGATTCGTCGAGAACTGTATTCCTGTAGTGACGACTTAGCCAATTTATTTAAATTTAAAATTAAGCTTAAAGAAAAAAAGTGGAAAAGAAAAATGAGAAATTGGACAAACTTTTCTTCATTTGTTCTTCGAACAAAAGCCTATTTATTTAAAAAATTACTTTTCAGTTTGTTTGAGAATTATACCAAAAAACCTGCGGAATAACAACCGAACAAATACCCTAAAATCAACGCACTTCACCAACATTATTTATGTATAAGGATAACTACACTTCGCGAAGAATTCGCAAAAAGACCGACTGAAGCCGCCATTTAAATATTGGTAATTCTCAGTTTTGCTGTATATTTTTCAAATCAGGTGGGTGATTCTTCTGGGTTGTTGCTGGAGTTCTTTCCGTACCCTTCACGGATTTCTTGGAAGTGGAACAAGTGTGAACAAGTGTTTGAAGTCGGATGGACCCTTTCCTGCTTACTGTCATTTATTATTTATTCAGTTATAGCTTTTTTTGAGCTCACTCATATTTTTATTTTTCTGTTATATTCGACTGTGTTTTATTTTGTGCAAATCAGCGAAGCGCGTAATCTTCGAGAAGGGATCAAGAAGGGCTTCACCACACTACGAAAGGGGTTTATCTTTTGTCTTTTTCTAAAGGAACTTGAGAAGGTGTTCGAGAAAAAGAGGCAGATTTGCATTTTTGGATTTGATAGCTGTACAAAACTAAGGTCATTTTTCAGATTTACTGGTGCAAATTAGAATTAGTGAAGAATCAAACGATAAATAATGATAATTTGTCGCAAGATAAAATTTCAAATATGTCGGAATACAAAAAAGTGAATTTTTTGTGCTTGTTGGTTTTCTTCTATGAAGACCCACTGCTGAGAAGTTCCACGAAGTGAAGAGGACCATTTGGACTGCCATCCCTCATTGTGCTGACCTAGGTTTCCATTTAGTGGCAGTGTTTTTCGTTGAGATGTGAGTGTCGTTGAAAAAGGATAGATCTAGCGGAGTTTGATTGCCGACTTACTGATTCCTAAGAGGATTCATCTTTTTTATCTTCGATATTGTTGTTTTTTTGTAAGGTTTAATTAAGTATGTTTAATTTTATAGATTTCAAGAAATGATTTTAAATATATTTTTTAAAAATTATAAGTGTGGAAAGCTAAAAACTGGTGTTATTTTTTTTATAATTTCATTCCAAAGATGATGAAGAGTGATAAATTTTCTTCCAAATTTTTTTCTGCAAATCTTGATATTTCGTCTTCAAAAGTGACGAGACTGACACTAAACACAGTCTCTATCAACATGAAAAATAAAGAGATAGAGGAGAGTTTGTATGGTGTAAGGTGCCGACCCGCATATAGAAACGGTAATCGTTTATATGGCTGAGCGATTTTTCTCTGAGACTGGGATAAACCAATTTCGGGTATGGAAAACAACTTTAACTAGCAAACAGTGGTATATTAAGTCGATTGATAAGTTCCACTGAGATTTCAGTAGAACTTAATATTTTCGTCTGAGATTGCTTAAGCTTGTTTGCTGATGTTGCTGAACAAAATTTTGTGATATATATCTGCAAACTAATGAGGTGAATCTCGTATTTTCAGCCAGTTCTTTTCGAGTCTGGTAATTTTTCTGCAAGCTTAAATCCCGTTGCCAATGAAACAATCAAATGGAAAAAATTCGAATGAAACAAATTCAACAGCATCGACTTTATCAGAGAAAACTTTTATAAGTTTGCTGGAAGAAGGGTGCCAGAAAAGTTATGGAAGATCACCGGTTTATACCGTTATGGAAAATTCATATAACCAAGTTGGCCTTCTTTACTTTTGTTTTCTCATGGATTTTCGTTAAATAAATTTAATGACTTCTTATGATATGCGAATTATACATTTTTTGATTTACGATTGACTTTATGAATTTTATAAATTCAGGAAATAAAAGTTATTGATTTGTTAGAAACAATTTATGGACTTCATTTAATTATCTATAGTTTTTTTCCTAAGATCAGTCACCATTCCTGGTTAGATTCACCGGCAAACTTTATGGGTTATTCAGCGATAAAAAATTGAGTCGCCAGCATCACACGGATTTTTAAAAGAGGGTATTTACTCATATCGAGAGTAGAACTGCACTGCAGGCTGTCCGAAATAAGAACAATAATTTATTAAACAACCCCACTTTAATTCATTTTTATACAATTTTAATTTTAATTTGAACAAAAAGCGAAGGATTTTTCGGAAGCGAAGGATTTTGTTGAATAATCATAAACGCTGAATACAAAATGAATAAAATAAGATCAATTTTAACAATTATTTACTTATTTACTTATTTTAGAACAATTCTTCATTTACGATTACATGTGAAATTTGTGGACCAGTTACTGTTGGCCAAGGAAAAACAAGAAAGATAGCTGAACAGTTGGCAGCAAAGAATATGTTAATGAATGTAAGTTTTTTAAAATACTACTGAATGTAAGCTTTACATTCAGTAGTATTTTAAACGCATTTTTTAATGAATTATTAAACAATAAAAGCTATAAATTATTAATAGAAAAGCTGTGAGTGAACAATAATTTGAAATTTGTGAATTATGAAATCCGATAGGAATTTCTTAGACTTATTAATCGATCCGAAGCTGTTGTTTGTATATTGAATTTTTTTTACTTTTACTTTTAGTTTGTCGAGAAAGAGCGCTTCAAGGATTTTGGTTTGGGATCAAGCAAAGAAGAAGCGATTCGGTACTTGTATGTTTTTTAATATATTTTTTAAGAAAAAGGTAATTAGTGTATTTAATCCTTTTGCTTTATGTGGAAAGCTCATAACATAGAAATTGGTTAATATATTCCCTATTGCCATATTTCATGTAATTAAATTTTATTTCGCCACAACTGTTTTATTTCATATTATTTATGTAATTAAAAATGAAAGGCTTTAATCAAAACTAGTCGAATGATTACGGTGTAAATATATATTGAAATTATAAAAAAAAATATATTATAATGTTTATTTTAACTTTTATTAAATGAGTTTAATTCGATTTTTTTTTTTAGGGCCAATTTTATGAGTGAATTCGCATTTACTGATGACGAAAAAAGCGATAACTGGGTTAAGTTTTATTAAATAAGTTTAATTCGATTTTTTTTAAAGGGCAAATTTGATGAGTGAATTCGCATTTGCTGATGACGAAAAAAGTGATAACTGGGTTGGCAAAATTAATGAAATGTAAGTTGGACAATGATTCCATAATGATTTTCTTTCATATTTTGTAAAAACTGATTTGAAAAGAATGTATATATTTGTTTTTTTTAAAAGTCCTCACCATTACTATTTAAACTCGCTCCACTGGCTTATCGCGATTAGGCCATTTGCCAGGAAGTCCCTTGGCGATAGAAATACAGGCCCGCATTACCCGGATTTTTATACAGGTTTACTCCTGCAGGGAATCGAACCTCAGCACCGACGCTCCCAATTGAGCAACAACTCACTGAGCTATTCTATCCCAATATATATGTATATATATATTTATATTATATATATACATTTAAATATAAAAAGATACATTATGCTCTTTTTCAAGGTCTTTGTTTATTAGGTTATTTATTACGAAATTTAAACAAAATTATTGACTTAATAACAATAGGAATATTTAGCACATTACTGCAAGCAAATAATTGACGAAGATCTCAGTCCAATCACTTTTTTTTTCAAAAAAAATTCCTGTCGCTGAGTTTCATATTTTTTTGTTATATGTTTCATATTTTTTTATGAAATGTCCATTGTCGCCATATGGAAAAAACGCTCCACATGCTAATTTCACAAAATTTTAATAAATTTTCATGGAATGGCGAAGTTTTGGAGATCTCTGGATATTTTGTAGATTATTTTGTGTTTTATTAATAATGGTTAGAACATTCCTGGGGATTCATTTCCGTCCGTAATATTCTCTGATGTTTTAACCCCACTTGTCAGTAGAGCCAGCCTTATGATTATGCTTTAAACGTTTTAGATGTCAACGTTTAAAACTTACTGGTCTTCATTATGAAGTGAACGAAATTGGTGCTCTCCATAAGCCGTTGTTCAAAGTCATTTATTCGGTTGGCGGTTTGTTTGCTGTGGGTCAAGCTGGAACGAAGAAGGTATGCATAAATAAATAATAAATATATATAAGTAAATATGTAATGTTTTAATAATAATAAAATAATAACAAAGACGACTTTGATATGGACATTTGACGATTCGCAAATATGTAATCATTATATAAATCTTATTTCAGATAGCCGAAAATATTGCAGCACAAAAAATATTTGAAAAATTAGAAGAAATGCAAAAAAATAATGATGTCTTTGATGGAAAGGTTGAAAATTTAGCCAGTACTGCTAGAAGCAAAAAGAACCAGTTATCTTGCGCAGATAATATATATGCTTATGTATATTTCAAATTTAAATTAATTCTGGAATATTCTTTTTTCTTTGTGAAACTGATATTGAACCGGTATATATAAGGATTGTTGAACGTATAGATTCGATTGCGATTAAAAAAGCATGCTGTGACCGAGAGACGTGATATTATTTTTACTTTGAAACTTTATGCCTATGAAAAAGGCATTGTTCTTTAATGGTTAAATGGGAAAAAAATATTTATATGAAATTTTTTTAATATTATAAGATTGTTTTTAAAATACTATATTTTTAAAATGTTAAAATATTTTATTAATTACTAATAAATATTTTAAACTTTTGTAATATTAAGATTACTCTTAAAAAATTTACTAGAATATCAAATTTATTATTATAATTAAAACATAAAAGTATTAAATATAATATTCATAAGATCTAAAAATAGTTGCAGATCAATGCATCGCTTGATTTTGATGGTTGTGATCAACATTGTGATCAAAACTCTATATTATCGACTTATCACAGATGTTATAATCTTGGTTCTGATACGAAGAACGCCACAGATACATTACAGAGAATTATAGATAGTGGGAATGACCAAGTTAAAACGATTTTTCTTCCCCAAAAAATTCAATTTATTGATCTCGATCATAGGGATACGGATGGTATCATTTATTTTTTTTTCAAACTCAGCTTTTCCCTTTGTACTGACTAATTTAGAAAAATCTATCTACACGTTTGGTCTTTTGAAAGTGCTGATGTGAATTTTAGAAATAAATACTAAAAAATTTTCAGAAATTTAGAAATCATTTTATTTATAAAACTCATCATAAAAAGAGTGCCAGTAACCTGTATTATATAGGTAGTTATCAGTGCATGTTAAAAATAAATGGCCCTGATGAAGATGAAAACGTTTTCGAAGGAACTGGATGGAATATCGATGCTGCACACGATGATGCGGCTATGAATGCTTTGGTTATGATCTTATTCTTAAGAAACCATACTCAAAGAAAATAGAAGTACTGACCAGTGAAACCAAAAAAATAATAGTGCGAACTATCTAATGAAGGAAAAAAGAAAAAGGAAATAATAATGTTAAATAATAATGTTAACTTCCCATCTAATTTATTTTTATTTTTATTTATCCTTTATCATTGTTTTGATATTTTCCTTATTAATTTTTATAGTTCCAGAAATTTCAAAAATAATATGTAATATCCAAAAATGAAACACTATTTTTATTTGTAAATTGTGAAAATTAAAGAACCGCACATTGCCATGAATTTTATTTTCTTAAAGCTTTAGAAAATTGGTCGATTTTTTATAGTTATTTGTTCTATTGCCTTTTTACCTTTATACCATATACCTTTGTGTTCCTTTTTTTGATCGTTTTAAGTATTTTCTAAGTTCATTTATTTTTCTTATTTATTTCTATTCCTAACATTTATTTATTTTATTATACAGAAAAATAAATTTAAATATCATTAACATTTCTTAAATTTAAATATTTTTACATAAAAACCGAGTACATAATTCAAGAGCTCAAATTTAGCAAAAAAATAATAAAAGTAATGATTAAATAAATAACGTTAAAATTAGTTAATTTTGCTTAGCACTGTTCCAGTCTTAAAATGATCAAGAGATGGAGGCCCATATTTCGCTTCGGCTCGTTTGAGGAACGCAATAACCATCGTACAAACTACTTGATCAAAAAAAATATGAGCAAGATTTGAATATAAAGCCGAACGAAATTCAAAAACTAGCGTGAAAAATTGTATACATGAATTATGATTGTTAGCAACGCCTTTTTCGAATCGCCATATTGTATCAAGATTATGAAATAATGCATTATCCACGCATATTGACTAAAAAAAAATTTTTTTGGTTATTTTAATCAGCAAACAAAGTTTTTAAGTTGAAATGAAAATTTTTTTGCGCAGCTATATATATATATATATCACTTAGAAATAATAATTCTTATTTTCAGTTTATCCCTACCCCTAACAAATAATACCAGTTCGATTATAACAGCGTTTATAATTATACCCACATTTTGGTTGATATCAAAATAAATCCGCGAATTTCATCTGATTTTGAAATTCAAATATAACTATAAATACAAATCTATTTTTCATAAATGATTTAATAGAACCAAAATGCAAAATCCATTTTGTAAACCAACTGTTTAAATTTAAAAACTTTAATATTAAATAAGAATAAAAATAGATCTGTAAAGTAAAGTAGTGAAAGTAGTGAAACGCCACATTAGCGAGAAATTGTTTTCTAATATTATATACTTCTAAAATAATTTTTAAAGCAAATACATAACTCACTTTGACAATTCTCGGCTTAACTGTCGTAATTTTTGACCTGTATGTTACTTGCACCGGAGGAAAACCTATCCCTATATCAGCAAAGAATAAATTTTTAGAATGAACCTGTAAAAAAATTAAAATATTTGCTGCCATAATCTGTCATAATCTTCCATTTGTTGCCCTTCTAAAATGATATTACTTGTAACATTGTTCAATACACATTCAAAACTGATCGAAAATGACACAAAGCAATGAAACAAAAATGAAAAGTAATAACAATCCATAAATCCAGAAAAAATCTAGAAATTCTTATTTCACTAACATCAACAAACAATTAGGTCCATTAAATAAATCTAAACAAAATAAAAGCAATCAACCTGCACATTAACTTCACGACACCAAGGCACAAATTGAGGATATTCTGCAACGTTGGCAACAATATCAAACATTTGTTCCTGTGTGTACCTGAAAAATAATGAAATTAATTTACCCGTCCTTTTCCAAAATATTTTTAAAAAAAGAATCACCCGACAAGTCGCTGTTCAGAATATTTTTTCTGTTTCGATGATAAACCAGGAAGAAAAAATCGACTTGAAACCATCAACAAAGAATTCAAACTTAATATTGCTCTGCAAAATTAATATTACAATATAAACAAATTAACCCAAGAATCAGAATATCTCTACTTCTACCCCTAACAAATAATACCAGTTCGATTATACCAGCGTTTATAATTATTATACGCGCATTTTGGTTGATATCAAAATAAATCCGCGAATATCGTCTGACTTTAAAATTCAAATATAACTAACCGACGACCTGCTGAAATACAACTGAAATTCATTGAAATATTAATTAATTGCTTATATTAATATCTTCGTTATATTCATGTCATTATTAAATACATAACTTCGAAGTTTGAAAAAGCTTCAGTACCGTAAAGACTTCTCTAATTCTGAAATGTTTTTTATGATATTTCAACTCAAAAACTCAGCAATCCAACTGCAATAATCAGCAGCACCCATATCGAAATACACCCACACCAAAAAACAGAACGCTTTCAATTAATGAGACCATTCATTAAAAATAATAATTAATGAATATTCTCAACAATTTTTATATAAAATCTGCTTTTTTTAAATGAAATAGTAACCATGCAAAATTGTATTTAAGAAATAGTTAGTCTAATCCGATAAAAACCATTAATACCTTTAATCAACAATGCTAAAACCATTTTCACAAGTAAAAACAAAATAGCACACCAGTACAAAATCAAACAGGAGAAACGGCGAAACTGAAAAAGAGAATACAAAATAAATAATGTTAAAGAGCAATTTTTCATAGAACTTGGTTATCAATTTTTTTCTAAAAGTGTTTACCATTCCTATTCAAGCTCCCTCCACTGGCTTGTCGGACCAGACAAATTCTGCCAGGGAGTTAATTAGTAAAACAAGCACAGATGACCATAAAAAACATTAAAAACATAAATAAGCTGGCATTTACTGGCAATAAATCAAAGAAACAACGATATGTAGAGGAATGGTAACTTTATTACAAATAAATTACTGAGCTAAAAATTTATTTTAAAAGTTGAAATATGATTTTAATCGTAAAATGTGAAGAAATACATAAAAAGAAAGAAAAAAAAAATACAATTTTCATAATGAACAACTTTCGTATTATTATAATTCAATCACTTTGTAATCTAAGACGTTCAGCTGCTGGTGCACCTGAAAATTTTTCAACCACATAAATAAGCTTATTTCTTGCTTATTTTCCTACCTTATTAATAACTTTTCGACAAATTAAAATACTTTTTGAATGAAAAATAAGCGAAACAACTATGCTATTAAATTTACGTATTTTTATTATATTGTGCACCAGTTTTAGATTATTCTAAGGAAGTTTTATAAGATGGATCGAAATCATTTGCAATTTTAATGTAAAATTTAAAACCATAATTAATAGCCAAGTGGAAGAGAACCTTTACCAAAAAAAAGTATTTTTATTATAAACGAAATATGTTAAAAGTAATCTAAATCGAAAGTAATCTAAAAGTAATCTAAAGTATTTTTAACGAATATATTAAAAGTAATCTAAAACGTAAAAAATAACCTGGAGCAATAACTGCATCACGTTGATATAAACATTGAATGTTATGTCGATATGCTATGGAACGATGCTTTGCAAGCAAGTGTGCATTCTTTCCCTAAACTGGAATAAAAAATCAAAAAAACAAAGAATCAATATAAATCACTTCGCAAATCACATCACTCGGCCAAAACACCTTTCACCAAAAAAAATAATAAACCTAAAAATAAAGAAAAAAATTTCTTGAACGGTCGTTTTTTGTTTCACTTTGTTACTCTTTCATTTCTTCTGGAATTTTAAATTCTGCTGGAAACAATTAAGCCAAGTTTTTTTTAAATTTTAAAATAAATAAATTATAAATTAAATTAAAAAATATTACATACAATTTAAACATTATGTATAATACAATTCAAAACAAAAACAAAACTATATTAAAATTATAAAATTATATATAAAAATAAATTTAATTTAATTTAATTTTTTTTAAGTTCTTTTTTCAATTTTGTTTTTCTTTTTATCTTCCACTTTATTTTTTTTCTCATTTATATTTTTTGCTTTTGTTTTTGACGCGAGTAAACCCATAATGATTTCAGAAATTCTGAAGCTGCTCACTCACCTGTAGTTTTATTTCCAAGTAATTCTATGGTAAAACCGCCTATTCGCACGATGCCCCCAGTCCAAGGGTCGATAAATATGCAGGCAAAAGAAAACGATTCCAAGGTTTGAGAATAAAATTTTCGTCTTATATACTACCGTAAGTTGATAAAAAACCTTTTCAACAATTTATCCACTGTTGACGAAAAGTTAGACTTCAAATATCACTAATCCCAAACTGCCAATTCCTAGTGAAAAACGAAATTACAAACCGGTAGAAAGAAATGAGTTCTTCCGGTTGGCAAAACCTTTATAGAGCAAAATTATTTATCAAAACGAAAAGTCGCACTTATACAGCTACGATGGAGGATAGAATGGCTTAATGGGCTGTTGCTCAATTGGGAGCGCTGATGCTGAGGTTCGATTCCCCGCAGGAGTAAACTTCTGCAAAAATCCGGGTAATGCTGGCCGCTGGCCTGTATTTCTATCGCAAAGAGACTCCCTGGCATATTTACCCAGCGCCTCGAACCAGCAGAGTGAGTTTAAACAGTAATGGTGACGACTCTTAAAAAAAAATATAACTATGATTTGCTCGATCTTGCGAGACATAGCCGATAAGAGTGGAGGGTATTAATGATATGGATGACGTTAAGCGACATTATTTATCTTTGACCACTCCCATGAATGATTTTACAGGATTGATGATCCATCTTCGCTTGAGTAGCACGTGCATTAATAATACCATTATAGATCGGCGTTTTTCGCTGGTTAGACCATGTTCTTCGTGGCAAAACACAAAAGTTAATATATATTTTGTTATTCGTTAAACCCTATGATGGATGGCGTAAAAAGCGAAAAGGGCCAATCGAGACCTGGACTGATAGTTAGGGAAGATACTAAAAGTATTAGGGGACCAGTGATATATGGACTTAAAAAAAGGGAAAAGGTATGGTTTTATTGTCAAGTATCAGATCTAGCGGCTATCTTAAGCTTGCAGCCAGAGGAGCCAGCCTAACCAGTAATGGTAAGAGTTAGATGTAGAAAAAACAAAAAAAAACAAAAATATAAAAATAATGAAACATTTTGGCAAAAATTACCTTAGCAGTAGACATTTTGAAGCCACACAGAAAACAAGTAGCATTTGCCTTACTATTTATACTAATATCTTGATGTGCATAACTCATATGCCAGGCAAGCACTTGAAGTGAATCGAAAGAACGTCCACAGAATAATATTAAACACGATAAATTCGTTATATCACAATCATTCCTCAAAAATTTCATTTCATTAATTACGACTATTTATTTAAAACTATTAAAACAAGTAGTACCGATTTTAGAACGAAAACGAATCATTAAGGTGTTTGAAAACATACACTGAAAAAATAAAAAATAACGATGAACAACAGAGAAATCAAAATGAAACAAAGACAAATCAAATTTCATAAAAATTTATGGAAAAATAACATAGAAAAAATCATTTCAATAATCATAAATGATATTTTACATAAATAGCACTTGACACCAAGAAATAAAAAAATGAAAACGTCAAAAACAGTCTATTCTACCTCATTATCAAACGCGCACGAATTGCAGAATCTGATTGTTGAGTTGCAGTTATTTTTATGGGAGTTGTCTGAAAGAAAAAAATAATTTTATTTATATGAGCGATTGTAATCTGAGTAATTTAGAATCCAAATAAATATTACTCCATTATAACAACGGACATAATGGACATAACGGACTGTCTTCCGACAACACTACATTTGCCTACCAGTCTCATTCTTTATATTTCTTCTTCTAAGCTCTCTGCACCAGTTTTAAAAAAAAATTTTCCTCTATGTTCTATCTTCCGTCATCTCTTTCCCTATTATATAACGAGAGATGGATGGGAGGTGAGGAAGGGGGAAGAGAGAGAATATAGGGAGTACTGGATGAATTCACTGAAAGAAAAAAACACAAATTTTTGGGCAAGTACAAAATTTGCAATCATCACTTCTGGCTCCATTGACTATTGCGGCAAAATACCACAAAATCAATCTGTAGACAGAACTGAGGACTAAGCGTCATTCGAATACCGTTAAAATCAAAAACAAGCATAAAAACTAACAACACAATTAAAGCGACCATTGATATGAGCAGCAAGCCGTTGAATATATGCATCACCGTCATATCGCAATTCTTTCATCGAATTTGACAATGTTTTGACTTTTCCATGTTTTACTGTTCGACTTTTGTAAATTAATCGCTTCTTCATTCTTATTTCGATTAACTCAGAGTTCAGCAAATTGTCAGGACTTTTTTCTTCTAAAATACTTCATTACTAATATAGATAATTTGCTGATTTGCTTCAATTTCTTATTAATTTACATGGCTTTTCGAAAGAAATTAAACGTAATTTCTAAAACTTTCTTTTCTAGCGAAAGCAAATTTCCTTGAATTAGGAAAGAAAACCTCCATTTTATAACCTCCAGTTTCTTTGTTGGTTTTTATTTTCAAATTTTTATTTCAAATGTGCTGAATCCGTTAGATTTGTTGAGTTAAAAAAGACTTTCATGAGACATTTATCAATGATATATGACACTTTTTCATTCAAAATCATTCTCATTAAAGTTTTTATTTGTAAATTCGAATATCGACTTTTTTGTTTCATTCTATGCTAGACGAAGAGAGTTTTTGGATGCGAAAAAGCGCGAGTGGCGCAACTGTGGAAAAAGAAAAGATAGATGGCTTTTCAACTGTGAAATAATTGTACTTTTGGCCTTTTGGCCCTTCTTTTAAAGATTTTACCATATTTTCATTTTTACATTTTTCTAAGATTTTCTGACACTTAACAGCTTGCAATCATAGAAAATCTTGCAAAAAATGGTCAAAAAAACTAAGAATTATAAAAATTCCTGAAATTTAAGTTTTAAAACTTAACGTTTCGTAATTTAAATAAAAAGCCGAATCTGCAAGCGGTCGAGTTTGTCACACATTTTATTTCTTGTAGTTATCTGTGGGACGCGACTCGATACAGAGCGGAAGCAGCGCGCTTCGGACTTCGGACGGTGCACTGCTTTTGCAGGGAAGGGAGGCGTACAGTGCGTTTTAACGTAAAAAGGATGGAGAAAATAAATTCTGACAAAAGTTAAAGAAAATGAAACATACCTGCGATGTTTCATTTATATTAAGAAATTGTACCAAAAAAAAGAAGACAAAAGCAACGAGTAAATCTAGAAGACTCACCTGAAGACAAATAAGTTCGCGAAGAAGCCAAATCCAAGTCGTAGGCGAATAAATTGGCCGAAGGTGACGCGCCATACGCATAAGACATTGCCTACAACACGAGGCCAATTACGAGACATTAAAAAATTAAAAATGTGGAGTCTGATATTTGTGCATCTTTAATTGGCGGTTCGGCCTTAATTTATTAATTTAAGATAAATAATATCTTGCGGAGAGTTTGAGAAAAAGCAGTCAGCTGACATTCATGCATTATGACTCATTCTTTTAAGGTATTCGGTTATATGAAGTGGTTGTTCTTGAACTTTCTTTTCAGAAGCTTTGTTTTAGAGAGAGATTAAGAGATTTTGAGAGATTGTCGGTCAAGGATGAGACTAAGATCATGGAAAGCTGTTGGCATGTTCTAACGGGTTGGCAAAAGGACTTTTATGGAGCGTTAAAGAAACTAGAGAAGTTCTGAGGGTGTGAAAAATTTATAGCGAGTTCCGACGAAGTTGTTTTAGAGTTAACGTGCGAGAGGCTTGAAAGGCTTGAAGCGCCTGAAGCGGGGCATTTCTGGCGTACTAAAGGTGGAGATTTATTTCTCCTTAAGTTATTTCTCCGAAGGAAGAATTCGGTTTTGGCTGGACAAGTACTTTCATGGATAGTAATCGAGGTTAATTCATTGCATCGGCTTACAAAATGTTTAATTAAGCGGATAACGCAAAGTGTTTGGATTTTGGATTGCTTTCAAATTACTTTCGTAAAAAAGTAAAAAAATTAATCGCAGTTTGTCTCGTACTTTACTGTAATAAAAAACACCTCAGAATTAATTTTCTTAATTTCTTGATAATTGCATATTGATCAGTTTTCAAATTTGCATTGGAATTAATATTCCCATAATAAAAATTAAGGGATGTAAAGAGAACGGTATTTTGGACGCACTTTATTCCAATGCTAGCCTCTTGGCGTTCACCTCGTTGCATCACTATGGATCTTTAGCTTTCTTTGGTTTTCTGATATTGCTGATTTTGTTGCTCTTTTCGAAGCTCAATAGACAAAATTAAAAATCTGCTTTCTTTTCCTCTAAAAGTTGGCATCGTTCCTTGTTTGGCTGGCCCCACTGGTTACTGGGATAAGAATTCATTTAACTCTCTCTTGATCATTTCTTTTAGTGATTTCGAGTTTTTGCTCAAAGAAAAAGTCATTTGAAGCCTTAAAAAAATCCATTAAGTTTAATTTTAGTCCTTCAGTACAGCTCTTTTGAAAAAATGCTTCAATGAGTAACTTGAGATAGCATCGACCCAATTTGATCAACAGGTATCTCGGCATTATGGGTTCAGCTTTTATCTCGTAATGGCAAACCATCAAAATTTGAAATTGGACTGGAGTTGCGAACTCATCGATAGCCTTGTGCCCATATCACCATCTGCCAAAATGGCTATTCCAGTAGTCAATGAAGTCAGCTAAGCCAGAAATAATTTTAGCAGTCCTAATACTTTCGATTTCGCTTAATCACTTTCTCCACTTTCATACATATTTTACGAAAATTTTAAGAAATTTCTTCGAATAATTGTTTTTAAAAAAAGTGGAAATTAATTTTCAGTTATTTCTATGTATTACTTTATTGTCTGATTTTTTCTACAGAATATGAGAGTAAAACTGTATCGTATTGAGATGTAAGGATTCGGATCTTCCCCTTAATGACGATCAAGTAAATGCCTGGCAAAAATTTTACATACTACCAGCAACTAGTCAAACCAGAAATGATGAACGCTAACCATTTATTTTTCACTTCTATAAAATTTTGCCTTAGAATAAAAGAGTAAATAAAATTTGAACAATTTCAAGATACTTTTTCGAAATAGAAAAAAATCGTTCATCGTGAACAAATCATGAAAAGAATAAAGTGATAATCACGAAAGATATATTTATCACATAAAACATCGAAAATTTTCGAAAATATTGCGTTTTTTTGCCGCACGAAGCAGGATTTATTTATCTGAAAAATCTAAAACCATAAAATTAATAAGGCAGCGATGAAGAATATCCAAAAATATGGATTTGATTGACGCGCAACTGACATTGTGTATTCCATGTTTCTATTGTTGCAAAAGGAAGATGTGCAAGAACAGATCAAAACCTGAAAAACAAAATCTTTGCTGCTTTTGTTAAATTTAAAATCTAATCAGACTATAAATTCATGGTTTTTAATGAAGAATACGCCAGTTTCGATAAATAAATTATATCTTCCGAGTTATTTTAAAGTAAAGTATAGCTTCCAATCAACCTCTTAAATACATTTCTCATTTTTTAAATTCGTTATATTAAATCATAGAAATATCTGCCGAAAAGTATAGGGAGTCTAAAAAGTTTAACCCGATTTTGGTACAATGTCATATAACAACCGATAGATTCATTCGCATTGCTACTGGCTTTACTAGATGGAAGTTCCTTCGTCAGAGAATGAAAGTAAGTACGACCGTCATCTGGGCAGTGAAACTATCTATCTTAAATGTCGAAATATCGGTAATCGTATCAAAATCCTGCGCAATTTTTTAGGCATACTAGACATGTGTATTGTATTGCAGTTGCATACACATAGATTTCAACAAGTTTCAGTTATTTACTTAATTTACTTTTATAAAATTAGTTAAAATTAGTATATTTTCCCAAAATTAGATTGTAAAATGTTTTTCCTAAACACCGCTTACTTATTATTTTCATTCACTTTTCTGTCTAATCATTAATAATAAAGTAATGCAATTTGCAAAGTAATGTTAATGCAATTTTAATTAGATGTTTAGGTGTTTAGCGAGAAATTAATTGAACAAAAAAAATTTTAGTACCGTAAATTTTTTCGTTTTCATTAGAAAGGGAAATTTTAGTAAATATAAATTGGGGTTTCTCAGAGTCTGACATTCGCATCACCCTATGACCCCGCTATGCACATCACCTCACGACCTTAATATCCACAATATCCATGTGCTAGAGATTTTAACGAGCTCTAGCTATTATGCAGGTCAATCGAAGAATTTGTTACTCTATCCTATCCATAGTTATGAATACCAAATAGCAATTAAAACGAGTAGAAGAAAAAATGCTTAGATTTCCAAGGAATAAAATAAGTAACTGATCATCTCTTCTTCATTCTGGAAATTTCAATCAACGAAACTTGAAACGATTTTTTTATAAATTATATTTTAATAAAACTCTATATGGTTTAACGAAACAAAACTCAGTTTCTGACGAACATTGCAAATTTAATTTTTTCTAAGAAACTAATTTAAATAAAAATTCGTTGATTGAATTCAATGTGGTGATAAGAGATACGAGATCAGTGCTGGGCGAAAGCGGAATTAAGTCGAGGAGGCGACGATCCATCATGCGACAGTTTGAACGATCGGCTAACGCTACTTGGACATCATCATCGATGCCGAACAACAAGAAACGATTCACACATCCTCTCATTATTGCATGAGTTGAAACTAAAATTTTTAGAAATTAGCAAACGGTAACCAAACTTTCCACTAATTTTTCTTTCTTTATTTAATTTTCTCAAAAAAAAATTTTTTTCTAATTCTTTTATTTTATAAATAAATGAAGCAAATTAGTAAGGAGCGAGCTTTCTTCTCTTTTTTCGCTTATATATTTATTTATTTTTTAATCCACAAATGTTTGGTTCGCAACTTAGATTTGCATTAAAATATATTACTTATAATATATTATATATATTACATATAATAGTATTACATATAATAGCATATTACATATACAAATATATTACATATAATAGCAGTAACATAGTTACTGCTATTTGTGTGTTACAGTATACTTACACTATACTTCGTATTTTTGCATAAAAATACTGAAAAAAGTGAGTACCATTTGTGCCATTACGATTCGACTATTTTATACATCCGTCCGATTAAAACATTTCGCTGTACTGCTATTGCTATATGCTGTATCACCACATTTATAATTTCAAATAAACTTCCCCGATATCGAATGTAACCACTCGACAACTCATGGACATGACAAGTTATTTACTTAGTTATTTACTTTTTCTTTGTTTACTAATGTTAATAGTTAATGATGATAAGAGAAGTAATAAGTGGTACATTCATTATTCTTCTAGCTTTGATTATGAAACACGAAAAAAATCTTTTCTTTTAAAAAAAATTAAACCTGCGAGAAAACTGATCCGAGTGGATGATAGTATTATTTATATCCCCAAATGACTCTGTGGCGAAGAGCTCTCATTATTAACATAGCCCCTTCAACGTACATGATATCTCTAATCCAGTAGTATAAGTGTAATGCGCGAACTCGGCCTTGCAAAATCCCGTAAAACGACTTTTTTTTGAGGAGACCAACTGCTCAAGGCCTTTTAATAAAGACAAGCAACTATTCGTCGGACCCATTAACCTTGTTTAGTCTTTGCTGTAGAAGCATGGTACATCAGAAGGCTTATGAAGAATAAGCGGTAACCATCCATACTTTGCCACACTAATGCATGGACCTGAATAGCCTGCTTGTCTGAAATTCGTCTTCCTAACATCGCTTCTCGTGCAGTTATTTATAAAATTATACTTAAACGAAGATATTGAATAAAGCATTGGATGCTTCAAACATGAATTCGAGATGAAATGGCATGGCGATTATCATGCAAAAGAGCTCGATTCCTTCTGGTCGAGTAGAAGTCAATCACCAACCTATGGTTTATTCGCGATTCAAAAGGAGTTATGCAATATCTCGATCATCTGCTCTTGCCCTCGCTCTATGTTTTTACATAGCTCAAAGGTGATTTCTGCGCTGAACTTCAATTGTTAACAACATCTTTTCTGAAAAATGAAATAATCATAGTCGGAGGAGAATGCACGTCTTGATCATAATGTTGACACGATATGGGCAAATATGCCATCAGGGTCCATTGCGCGAAAAGTCCCTTCGCGTTGCCGAAGACTAAGGACTGTTTACTGCCAGTATATGCTTCCGACACCGGAGAAGATATCTAGTCATAAAAGATATCTAGAAGATATTTAGAAGATAAGATATAGAACTCTCCTGATAATCAATATTCCAACCAGGCTAATTATATCTTGGTCAATCATGGAACTGACGAATCCCTTATTAGAGTCATTCCCATCGCGATGCTGACATTGGCAATCTTTATGGATCAAATTTCACGTCTCTCTAAACTCATCTACCTCGAGCTAAAAAATTTTGGGACAATAGGCATATTTCAAGTCGAATTATCTAAAAAAAAACCTCGATGATATAAAAGTCAACAACTCCTCTGGAGTTGCCGATGAATTCAATTGTTCGAAAAGATTGCCAAAGTAGGCAAGGAGATCATGGTTATCGTATGCCTCGAAGACATGTAAAACGCTGGCACAGTGGCATAGAAATCGTTACTGGAATGATATGGTCCTGAATGTGGAAATGATTGCCCGAATAGCCGTAAGCCATTCAGGCTTTTCCATAACGTCATCATAACTCTGAAAAACTCGTTAGTGATCCGAATCCGAGATAAAGGTGTCTGTTAGAATTTTCAAAGACTTTTTTGTTTGGAGTTTGAGACTTTAAAACTAAACTTAAAAACGATGCACCATTTATCATTCCAGATATAGCAAATGCTTATCGAACCTTCTATTGGCAACCCTTAGCAGTTAAGAAAGCCAAAAATAATCACCGTCATTCAGAAGCTGAAGTCCAATAAAACTTGTAGAAGACACGGCTAAAGTCTTTAAATTTTATCCAACACAGTTCTCCAAAACTCAGTAGATTTATTCTCTGGTATGGAAGATACTGGAGCAATTTTAATTGCAATTCCCAAGAAAGCTGGTAGGATTTATTGTGAATATATTGTGAAAATAGAGAAATTACCTTATTAAACATTACATGGAAAATTTCTTCTGCTCTCTTCTGCTGAATAAATTAATGGCAGCGTCAGTTGCGAAAATTGCTCAATAAGCAAGCAGGATTATTATATGAATATAAGTATTAACCAAATATTCACGCTGTAAAGAAAAAACGCCGTTTCGAATATTGATAACCTACAGTTATTTGTGAGATTTCCGATTCATTCAAAAGAGCAGAGCTTTGAAGGGTGAACTGCGATATTCCAGAGAAGATCATTCTATGGATACCAGCACTCAAGAAGCATATCAACAGCATCGTGCTAATGGCACAGTCCATTTTCTAAGGAACACTAGATCGACAAATGTAGCAAAAATCTCATCAATGTAAATAAAAAGATCTTTTTGCCTTATTTACCCGATTTACGTTGATAATACGTATTATTATTCTATTATCATTTAACACCTATTTCAATTAGGAGATTTTAAATATTTTGGATCTCTCATAACAAAAGGAAAGAGTCGAAAACTCTGAAATCACAATAAGAACGAATGAAAATTCGTATCTATCTGGCTGTAGTATCGATTCGTTCTAAAGCCGCGAAACTTGGCCAGTGATAATGAAGATATTAAGGCTGTCTTACATTGATCACTCACATTTTATGAGTTCGCGGAGTAAAATAAAATCTTATATAATTGCATTCACCTTCGCTCAAATATTATCTCCATTTACAATTCATTCTTAATGGACGTTGCCTATGCTGATTGGGCAATATTCTTTGTCGTCTTTCGCAGGCATTGACGGTAATTCGTAAACGCTGTGATGGATGCGTCAAAAGCGAGGAGAGCCAATTAAGACTAAAAGCTGATGCAGTCAGAAGAGATTTTAAACGGTGGACCAGTGAAGTTTAGATGAAAAAAGTGACTTACTTTATTCTCGGGCATGATATCATATCAAGTTTGGAGGCGCATAGTGAACAGAGGAAGCCTAACCAGATGCTATTCATGCAATTAAATTTTCGCTATGTTGCTAAATGTTTCTTCATAACCTATCTTCGTTTTTCGCTGAGAAAATACTAAATTGTAAAGGAGTGAACAAAGATTATAGGTGTATTATTGATTAAGAGACTAGTAAAGTTAATAATAAATTAAGTATTAATGGTGAAATATTCACAAACAATTTGGCATAGAATACGAAGACAATAGAGTCTACATTAGACAGAAAAAGGTCAGAAGGAATGATGGAACAGTGAATATATATGGCAGAGCGATGTAGGCAGACTGCCTGCTAGCACGGTTAAAAATATGTAGCATGCAGTCATCCGGCGATAGAATTACAGGTTGGTTGCAGAAACCACTCTCACTTTTAATGTTAGATTTATTTTTTTTTTTTTGGTTCTCTTAATCTGAGCTACTACTCGGCAATTAGTTATATATATATATATATATATATATATTGAATCCAGATAATGAAAAATATTTTGGCAGAATTTTTTCCAGATTTTAGCTTTCAGCCATTGTGTTTCTGAACTTAACCGATTAAAATTATGATCTTTAATAAAGATATATAAAAAAATTTATGATCCCGGAAATAGTTAATGCGATTAAGATTAAGTACTGATGATCCGTGATTTTGGCAGTAAAATTAGTTGAAGAAATAAATGACCAAATAATTCAAGTAATCAGTCAAGCGAAACATATGCATAAGATTGCGTTATGATCCATAAAATAGAATTACGACCATTTTTCATTCCCTTCTTATTATTCGAGATATTTTTTATAAAAAATTTAGAACTGCTCTTGAATATTTACTACACTATACAAATAATGAAAATAGTAAAAATAAATAGGTTAAGTGGTGCATTACCATGACGGTATGCTAGGCTTTTAATTTTTCTTCTAATTTTTCTGCAATATGTGCACCATTAATCCAAATGCAAATCCATAGAAGAGTTCAAAAGATTGCTGCTCCCATTTCGGAGCACCGAAGTTCTACTCCCAGTAAGAGTAAACCTTTTGAAAAAAAAGTAAATCCGTGTGATGGCCATCCACCTCTTCTCCTCTCCTCCTTCTCCTTATCAAGTGATTTCCTGGTATTTGTCCAATCCGACAGATTCAGTAAAGCGAGCCGAAATGCCAGAAATGCAAAAATAAATGAAATGATTGACTGCGCAACTGCTATAATAATCGTAAATAAAAAAAAACGATATGCTAGGCTCTCAATTTTTCTTCTAATTTTTGAGAAGACCTAAAAAAAATTATTTAAATTTTAGTAATTCTTTATTAATAAAAAAATCCAAGTGAATAAATAGTAAACATAGAAAAACAACGAAAATTAATTAAGAAAAAGTGGGATTAAAATTTTTAAATATTTCCGCGAATTTTAAAGATTTAGCGCAACATTCATTAATTAATCCCTGTTGAATTACCTTTTCAAACTAATTGCATTTCGCATTTACATTAATCAAATTCAAAATTAAACTTTTATAATTTTCATATATAATTGAAAAAATAAAATTAAAATAAACGGTTATTATCGCAGTTAAAACTGCTTTAACCAGAAATTTGTTGCGATTAATTAAACTAAGCAATTTTGAAATTCCACTTCTATAAAAAAATAAATTTTTAATAAAGATTATACATATATATATTTATAATTAAGAATATATATAACATTAGGACTCAATACAACATTAGGAGGACTCAAAGTCCCGCACTGATTGCATCAATCGGGAATGATCAGAATGATCAAGTAAAAGATAGGATCAGAAAAAATAATTCAATCCATTTTAAAAGCAGGATGAGGTGATCCTGTGATCTATAGGCGTTGGAAAGTAGTGAGCGGTCATTGTTATTCTCAGAGAGACTTATGAATCTCCTCACACCAGCGAACTCTGCCTAACCAGTAACAAATGCGAACAGTAATAATGGAAAGAAAAAGCACCAACTATTGGAATAAATTAATGATTTGGTGCAATAATTTCTGCACCATTGATTTACTTTTGAAAATGAATTGAATTATCCATAGTACGAAACATATCTCCAATCTACTTCGATCAACATTAATATTGTATTATATTCGATGTTCTAAGTTATTGCTAACATAGCAAATGCATAGCTATTGAATTGAATACCTAAGCAAGTAAATTGATGAGTAGGGATCTGTTTAGACAATATAATTGCCATCAGTCCTTTGCTTTCATCAGAAAAAAGATTAAAAATAAAAACATGGAAAGAAACGACGTTCAGATCTGTTCAGTAATCAGATTTTATTTATTCATGAAGCATCAAAATGAAGGACTTATTATCATGAAGAATTTCGAAAAATTAATGAATATTCTTTTTTTACTATTTTTTTAATTTTTTATTATTTTTATTAATTGAAGAAATGTGGAACAACGCTTTACAATTCTTAAAATTTTACATTTAAAATAATAATTTTTTTGAAGGGAAAGAAAAATAGATTTAAATTTATGGTCGGCTTATTGGCGTAATTTATTGAAGCATAAAGTTGATATTCTTTTCCAAGAGAGAATTTTCATAAAATATTTCAACAGTTAATTTTGATTACTTTATATATCCTGAAATTCGTTGTCAATGCATTTTCGGATGACTGATCGCTTCGATTTAAGCGATTACGCATGTAGATTTCAAGATATTATACCCATTTCCTTTAAATTATCGTATTTTAATACTTCCAAAAAGACATTTTTCTAATTTTAGGTTCATGTCTTGAACAATTTTAGGTTTTCGCTAAATAGAATGTGAACATTAATTTGACTGATTTGTTTATTTTGCCTTTTTAGATTTTTTCAATTAAATTACTCTATGAACTTAAAAATGTGATGTGCTATGAAAACTGAAAATTCCTATAAACAACAATGAATAATTTAAAACAGCTCTTAAATTTTGACTCCTAAATCCATCGTAAAAAATTTCGTCATCGACCTATTAGCCAGCATGACCCATCAAAGTAGTTAATAGCCAGAGAATTTTTTTAATTCTCGAATTTTCTTTCGTGGAATTCACAATTAATATTGTTGTACTATACTAATGATAAAATTAAGTCAAATACGTATGGAAAATCTTTTTTATTAGTTTTTTGTGTGGTTTCTAAGCAATCAAAAAAGGACTTCGAATCATGAATATGAAATGAATATCAAGTTGGATGAATATATGAATATGCAAAGCCATTTTTCACTATTAATTTAACATCAGAAAGCATCATATATTCTCAAAAAAAGGTTTCCTTTCTTTTCAAGGTTTTTTGATCATTAAATAGAAATTTTTAATGAGATCCATCGACAAGAAACAGTATCATCGCAGTTTAAGCCAATCGACTAGAAGAAAACTTAACAATCATCGAACAAAATTTAATTTCAAAATTAAATATTTTCAAAATTAAATCTTTTTCAAATAACACTCAGTGTTATATCTGATAAAGCTATAGAATCGTTTCGGAATGGAAGTACAAATGGGTCCTCAATATCGGCATTTGCATTTCACCAATTTTTATGCATATCTCGAGTATTAATTAATAATCTTTATATTTGTTTCTGCTGCTGATATTTTCACATTACTTTTTTCACATTACTGAAATATTTTTATCATGGATTTCATGATTCAAATTTAACACATCCCGGTATTTTGCCAAGATAAATGAATATTGGCATAAATTAGTATTGTAAAATATCCGAGGGAATCAATATTGCTGATAGCAAAAAGTGGAAAAAAAATGAAAAAATGAAATGAAAATTTTAATAACTAATTAGTTGTTGAAATAGAACGATTGGACAGTGGTTTAGCTGAGAGGCAAAGTATCGTCTCTACTCCCGGTAGTAATAAATCTTTCACCAAAAATCGCCAATTAAAATAAAATTTCGAATCGTAAGAACGGTGAATAAAATAGCGAGCAGCTTATTTCCCCTTTACCATTTACTTGTTGAAATAGTTTATTAAAAATTAAAATTAAAGTATTTTTGTTTGTACTTTCAATTTCCTCTTTTAACGCTATTTTCATTTTAAACAATCGAAAAGAAAATTATTTCTTATTGAAGTAGAGAAATAATTGCAACTAATTTGAAATTAATAGTGGCATTACTATCAAAATGATATCTAAACGGAATGAATTTATAAGAAAAGGAAACAGGATTGTTTCGGAGACAGAGAATTTTTAGTATATCAAAATGATAAAAAACAACCGTAAAAAATAGAAAAAATTCAAAAAAATGGAAATTTAAAAATATCTCATCCGTAATTACTTATCAATTTTTTCAATTAAGCTCCACTTGATTAGAAATTTTTACCAAAGATTTCGTCTACAGATTTTCAAATGAGAATTTTGCTACTATCGGGTTTGATTTTTTGAAAATATACTGATTTTCTTAACTGATATTTTCTTAACTGAAGATTTTTTCCTTATCAAAATTCTTGCTTAAATCAAAACTCGCCTGTTATTGTTCTTTTCCTTTTCTTTTCCTTCTGAAATCTTAAAATTTTTATTTTTGCAAAAATGTAGATTTCAACTATTTTTTATTTTACAGATAAGATAAATAAGCGTAACGAAATAATTGCAAAAAATTAGCAATTAAATCGAACCGAAATCTCATTTTGTGTTAAAAATAAATATCTTTATCATATATGTAGATCGCAAATAATCATAAATAGGTAATAACTCCCGTTCACTAACGGTGGAGCTTTCAACTTTGAAATTATTTATAAAATAGTACGGATATATGATTCAAATAGTGTGTTACTCCGAAATTATTCCTTATAGGTTCGAATCTCCTTGATGGGAACAGATTTTTTATGATTATAAAAATGAAATCACATAATACACATTTCTATCTCCAAGAAAGTGGCTATTAAGAAAAAGGGTTGCATTTTAATATTCAGGAAACCAGCCAAACTAGAGGTTGTACTGGAAGGAGAGTTACAAAATGTTATACACGTAAGGTCATAAAGCTACATGATTCTCACTGTTGTACCATTAAAAGCAATACATCGAATTATCGGTAATTATTTCAAAATTCTTCTATCTGGAAAGTCGATAATTAGATTGATTAGCGAAAGAATATCAACATTCTTTCTTTAAGTGAACATAAAGGCATATTTTTCCCACTTAGGAAAGAAAATTACCTAACAATTTTGTTCATTCATTTTACTCATTTATATTCCTTTAATGCACTTTATTCGGAAAGCAAAAACCTCAATTTTTTGGTAAGGAAATAGTTATTTATAAGGTAATTTTTTAACAAATTACTGGCGAAGGAAAAGTACATCGACAGGACAGAATATATTGAAATAGAATCTATTGATGAAGTAAGGCATTGGTGAGGAAGTAATATGGCGATAGGAAAGGAAACAGATGTCAAAGGAAAGGAAAAAGCGTAAGCAGACAACCTTCCCGCTGGTGACATCTTGTTATGGATCTTGACAACTGAAAGACACCCAATATTCTGAGAAAAAGCTCGAAAGGATGTAGAAAATCAAGCAAGTGAGATTCGTATGTAACAAAGATAAACAGAGTAAATAAAGATAAAAGTGGTAAATTCGAATGTTTTCTCCGAAAGCCAGTCGTTATGACTTCATAAAACTATTATCAATATCTCTTGCTTACCTTTGGCAAAAATTCATTTTGCCATAATTGAATGTGAATATTTTAAAATTCTTTCTCTATATTACGGGATATTAGTGAATTTCAGTTATTCCGACCGGTAAACTGCTTAATTTAATATAATTATTCAACTATCTTAGATTGGTACTCTAGAGAAATATTTGGATGCGCAGAAAAAATTCTCATTGAAAATGGCTCTAAATAGATCGGCTTCAGTATAAAAAAGCAGATATTTAAAATAACTATGAAATATAGAATAAAATTATTTACAATAATATGAATATCAATAAGAGAAATAGAATAGGCGAGTGGAAAGCAATTTAGATTACCGTACTGAGAGGAGAAGGTTCTCATATTCCCAACATCAATCATTTAAAAACTCGAGCAATGCTGGCCCCCACTCCCAACTGACTCTTTTTAGCAAAAATTCTAACAATATTAGCAAAGAGAGCGGACACAACCAGAAAGTGCTAACTGTGGTAAGTGCTAACTGCTTATTGGCTTGCTTCAATAATAATAAGGATTAAAAGAATTTAAAAAATATTAATTTTATCGTCTTGATATTTCATAATATTTATTACTTCTAATGATATTGACAATAAAAAGTTAAAAAAATCGTAAAAGAAAAATTTTGGAAAAAATTAAAAATTTATATTCCGCACTGTGTCTTAATTAATTTCTTTATTAATTTCCGGGAAAAAATTTATTTAAAATAAGAATTTCATTCATTAATTAATAATGAAGAGAAGGAGTTTTATAATCCAAAAAATGGAAAAAATTGTCGTGCATGAAGTTAATTAACCACTTTAGTGAAAATAAAGGTGGTCGCTTGGTTAATAACTCATTTATTTATTTATTTTATAGTAATTTTAAGAGGAATTTAGGAATTTCTTAGAATAGATTAGATTTAATTTGTTCACTCAGTTTTATTCTCGAAGCATTTAATGGTTGTTTTATTAATATTAATGTACTGACAAAAAATTATTTGCTTAAAACAATTATTTAGCATTTAAAAATTTAATATTCACTAAATCGAATGAATTTTACTTTATTTTATTTACGTGTCTGATTAACTTTCCACAAAAATATTATTTTGAAATAAATTATCTAATATAAGAGAATAGCTGAAGAAGAGAATCAGATTTTCGTTCTGAGGCAAAGATCCGACTCCCTCCCATCACAGGAACAAAGCTTTCGAACGAAGGCAGTTTGACTGCCGACCCATAACCCAACTATAACTCTATAGCCAAGTCATCCCGGAACCCCCGGTAAAAACTATAAATCGTGTAGGCTAACGGAGCTGGTCTAAACAGAATATTAACCGCTTATTTACCACTTACTTTAAATAAAATTGTGTGAATTTGGCAAGATTCCATGATCAATTTGCTAAAAGTTTAAATTCCAGGAGCTTCAAAATAGGAAAATTTTAAAATTTCAAAATTCTACCAATATTATCAATATTTTAAACAAAAGTAAACAAATGTGAAAATTTATTTCTTTAATACTGTAGAATTTCGCTTCATTAAAATAGATAACGAAAATTTGAACTGTAATTTTTTACTAAATAAAAAAATTTTCCTTTTAAGGAAATTTTTCAAATATAAGGAACCAAAAAATGGGAGATAAAAAAATCAAAAAAACTGAAAATATAAAAATTTTCAAAATTTTCTTCAATAATCAAAACCATATTGGCACACTTCTTCGATCAAGGAAGACACACGTTCGATTCCGACGAAAGTAAACTTTTTATCAAAAGGGATTTGAAGCAACATGTTCGCTAGTCAATACAGTTCCTCGAACTTTCTTAATGTGTTTTACAAACCACAGAATCAATATATAAAAATCCGAAACACTTACTGTGATCATCAACTTCTTGAATAAGAGTGAAACATGCGGATGAACAAGTGACAACACCAATCTCGATATTCGGATTCCAACAATCATCCGTAAAATTTCTTGGTGGAAAATAATGTTGCATTAGCTGGCTCCATGCAGAAAGATAAGACGTCGACGCGCAACTGATACATTGCTGAGCTGCCGTCGTTTCACCGCCATGAACTTTAACAAGACTAATAGAATTTAATAGAATACCCAATGAAGTGAACATAACCCTTGACCCTAGCCATTCGAAACTAGTAGCAAATTGATAGATACGAATAAATCTGCCGAATTTTGGCATAAAACCAAATAGAAATAAAAAAGAAAGATACTTTTCAGTTAAAAATATCAAATTAGCTAAAATTGATGATGTTTAATGCATGAAATTTATTAAGCAGCGACTCGCGATAATCATTTGTTAATAAAGTATTTTTTAAAGAACATGAAATTTTTGATAAAATAGAATTACCATCCATCAGCAAATAATAATAAAAGAATAACGAAGAAAATTCGGTTCAATTCTAGAATTCCAGATCAAACAAACATTCCGAAAATTTTCATGGATTCTCTGGTGGGAAAATCCTCAACCGTCCGTAACCTACGGCTACTCACGGAGACAGAAACGGAGTCAGCTTTTTGATTTCAGAATTTTAGCACGGTTTCGTCGAATATCGTTAAGACTTTCGATAATTTTGAGCTCGAATTCTCCTCGATTTTCAGTTGAATGCGCTTAGCAAGAAAATAATTGGCTCATTTCAAGCATGCGAGGTCACTTCAGCAACCATTCTTCATCCACTATTTTATCGGAATAACTTTACATATACAAATAAATATCAACGACCCGCCTCTGATCCCTATTATATACGTAAGTAAGTTGACCGCGCCCAAGGCATTTCATTTCTCCGATTTTCGATTTTTGTGTCAAGTATCCACCTTGTGATCGACTTTTTGAAGCTTTTTTCAAAAAGATTTGTTCACAGAAGATTAGCATCTTAAATATATAAATTAAATAAATTAATTAAGAACAAATAAATTAACTATTTGAAGCTAACAAAAGGCAAAAGTACGATGTAAAATGAGGTCAATGCTGGAATATTCTTGAGGAGAGACGATCGACTGATATGCAGCAACGACTTACTCCTATCAGAAGTAAACCGTCATTAAAAATGAAATCCTGGCTGAGGTTTACAACTCGCCTCCACTTCCCTCTCTGCCAATTATCTCTTATTCCCACCCAGAAACAGCGAAAAAAAATCTTTTCCTTTTGCGAAATCCTGTAACGATATGTCCATTTAAGCAAAATCGATTAAATTACCCTGTTATATATATATATTTACATGTATATGTATATAACATATATACAATATTATATATATTCATGTAAATAACAATGAGCAGAAATCGATACAGCAAAGATGTGAGAAATAAATGCATAAAAATGGCCAAGAAATATTTAATAAACACCGTTGAGCTAATAAAAAATTACTATAAGTGTTAGGATTTCACTCGAAAAATTTTCTATTTTTATAACTTTATAATTTTTATAACTTTATTTAGTTTTATTTAGTTGTGTAAAAGAAGCGAAGAAGCAGAAAAGGCCTGACAAAACCTAAAATTCTAATATTTTAAAATTCAATTTAACATTCAGTCTAAAGGGCCAAAAATTTTGAAACAGCTACCAGTAAAATAGTAAATATGAAAATTATGAAAATAAATGAAGTCTAGAAGAAAATTAACAAAAATTCAATAAATTTTAATAACTTTTTTCATTGTTTTTCAAAAAATTTTTTCTTCATTTTATTAAGCAATTTTAAAGTAGCAACGTTTCGAGAAGACATATAACTAAAATTCAAAAAATCGGCAGAATTTTCATTTATAGGGATTTCGAAACCATTTTCACTCAAAATTTTCCAAAAAGACTGATCATCGACTCGTAAAAACGGATTGCACTGTAATTCAATTCCGAGTTCTACTGGTACCTAAATAAATAAAAATGTTTTTTATTTCTTGAAAAGAAAAGAAAAACGATAACGCAACAAATAAAATGGAAAATTTGTAAAAAAATGAATAAATTTTCGAAAGGTTTACATTGTTGATAGAGGGGATATATTTCGCTATCCCAGCAAGCCTGTTATAAAAAATGATGTTTGCGACTCGACCCATCTGTTTTTTTATCGCAAAGTGGCAAAAATTTCTTACTAATAATCAGCAGTGAGCCTGCTAATTATTTACTTATTTGGCATTAATCTATAAGTTCCATGTCAAAAAAACAATATCATTTTGCAAAAAATAATTAAAATTTAAATCGCATGAAAAGTTTTCGCAAAAATAATGTAGTTTTTCTGAAATGAATTATTTTTAAGTTTTAAAATTATTAAGTTATGAATTATGAATTATTAAGTTTTAAAATTAGCAACAGTCATTTTCATATTTATATAGTAGTGGCAATATGTAATACAGTTAAAACTGGTGAGAATTTCTCCAGTGGTCTGGTAACGGAACACTATCAGTGGAATAATCGCAAGGACAATTTCATTGGATATATAATGCAACAAATAGCACGAATGAAGTGAATCCGAAAGCAATGCAAGAAAGAGAAGAAGATCAACGATGGCTTTCGAAATCTGGAAGCAATTTGTAAGAAACCTGGTAGTTCTTCAAAAGATTGATGATTTTCTGAATCCCATGGTCGAAGCTAATCTTAATTAAATGAAATCGCTGATAAACCAGTCAAACAATATCCAGTCACTTTTATGCAATTGGAAAATTAAAAAAATCCACAACTCACACAACAGGAAATCAACGGTCCGAACTTTATTCCAAGATAGGAAAATGAACTATTTTTTGGACAGAAATGTAACTGGAGATGAAAAATCTACTATAATAATAAGTAATCATGAACGTCAGTGGTTATCGGTGGAAGAAATGGAAATGGCAGAAAAGAGCTGTTGGTGTGTGAATAAAGGGAAAAATTCATTATGGGTTGCTCCAATTTGATCAAACTATCACTCCCAATGCCCACTGCGCAAAATGGAATCGTCTTCAAGAACAAATTTCATCGAAATTGCTGGTAGCTAACAGCAAATGTAATCGATGAGTCTGAAAACACGAGCTCTCATGTTGCAAAAAATAAGGGCCGAAAAATCAAATAAAGAATCAAAGAAGTTGGCGGGAGAGTTCCATCTCACCCATCTACTATTCCAATCCTGACTTTGCCCATTCTGACTATTTATCCAGTCTCTGCAACAATAATTAAAAAATTTTGAGAATGAGTATTTTGAATATTTTAAATCAATTTTGCGATAAAATAACGAATTAGTTTCTAAATGGGAAAAAACTGCAGGAAAGGGTTAAAAGTAGTGAATAAATAACTGGTTAACATTGTTAGTTTTTTAGGTACTTCCCATTTAGAAACTAATAAGTAATCATGAACGTCAGTGGTTATCGGTGGAAGAAATGGAAATGGCAGAAAAGAGCTGTTGGTGTGTGAATAAAGGGAAAAATTCATTTTCATTCAGCTTTTACATCAGATGGATTTAGAAACCACTGAGAAAAAAAGAGAAGAATAACAAAACTGCAGTTTTAGTAGCACTGGAATATAATTGTTTGCTTCTAGCAAAAAAAGGAAACGCATCAAAGAAAAATAAATTTAAGTGGTTTGAAAAAATAAAAAATATTCTATTATGTGGACTATGAACCACACTTTAAATGAGAATACTGAAGGATTAATTTGGCAGGAAAGAAAAAATAGACTAACCTTCCTCAACAAACCACTCGAATATCCATAATGATATCTAATTTAATCCTTAATTATATGAAATCAAAGATAAAAAAGATAAAAAAAGGTAGTTAAAGATTAATTAATAAAAATAAGTATTTATTTCTTACTGCCCACAATATTTACAATATATATTCTGACTCATTAAAACAAAGAATCTCGGCCAAAAAAAATTAAAATGTCATTTGCAGTTTCAAGGCCATAATTTTTGAAGATTTTCGGAATAAACTTATGATTATGTTGTGAAATAAAACAACAAATTTTTTCGACAATTTACCTCAACAATAACAAAGATTTTTTATAAAGAAAAAATAAACAAGAATCTATAAACGCAATACCTTAATATTCCTTACCTAAATTAACTTACTTTTCTGGTTTGGTGGGCTCCACCGAAGAGTGAGATATCACCACCGGACTTATCCAGGAAGAGAACCATCTGGATTTCACTCTTAATGAAAGGCTTATCAATCTAAAATTTTACTACTTCATAATGAAAATTAACCGAAACAATTTTGAACAGCTCATGATACTTAAATAACTTGTTTGCATTCCAAATTTCACCTCGGTTCGGGCGAAAAAATATTATTAGCAGTTTTAATGGAATATCGAAACAATCGGTTTCACCCGTAAGAATCATCACTAGGATAAGAGAAAAAAGAATAACAAAAAATTCATCTGATTATTTCCTCAACTTAATTTTTTATCAGAATATTTAAAGCAGATTAATATCTCCAATTCAATTTGTCTTAACTGTTATTAATCCAGGAAGTTCGAGTCATACCTAATTTCTCAACGAAGAAATTAATTAATATGAAATTTTTCCAGTTTAAAAAATTCTTTCTATTCTTCTTCGTGAAATCCGTCAGTATTAACGAGCAAATTAATCGAAAAACTAGGCGGGGAATGGCTAAAGAGATAAGAACTCCATAAAAATTAATTTTCATCTCGAAAGGGATAGAGAATGAATTGAATTAGACATGGATGGGTGAATAGAAAAAATGCTCAGATTTCTAATAGTGAAATCTCTTAATTTTCAAACTCTGTAATTCCACACAGTTCATCAAATCAAATTAGATAAAAAGCATAACTGCATAACTAATACTATAGAACAATTCAACAGAAAACCAAAATTCACAGTCGATTAATAATAAACGTGCAACCAACTTTGATTTTCAGGGAATTCAACTTTAGAAAATTCCGAATTTTCTAAGTTAAAGCAAATTTCAAGAGAAATTAAGTAATAACTATGAAGAAATAATTGAATCTAATTAAATCTCGTTCGGTACTATATACGGTATTTTGATATATAAAAAAATAGTTCAATCTATATTATTTTAATATTATTTTTTAAAAAAAGTAAAAAAATAAGCCATTGCGAGTATTTTTAAATAGCACTTAACCATGAAAATTAAAGTATTTTTAAAATTCTTTGAAATATCATGTAAATTCCTTTCATATATCGAAATAACCATATGAACTAATTTATATTTCATTCAAATTATTTTTTATTCTTTTAGATTTTTTCGTCGAATAATACTTTCACATGGAAAACAAAAGAAAAATGCGGAAGAAAAAAATTTAAAAAATATTAAAGCCATAAAAACAATAAATAACTGGTCAGCACTCGCCACTTCTAATTAGTGAATGCACCATTAAGAAATTTTTGCTAGGGAATCATTTGGCGACATAAATGTGCGCAGATCGCCAGCACAGTCCGGATTCTTTAATAGGATTAAGAATTTCTTTTTAATCTTCAAAAAATGAAGAGAAACCTCTTGTTAGGGAATAAAATCAAAATTACGATACCCAATGCGAATCGAAAACACCAATTTCAAACAAATTATTAAATTGCTCTTCAAATATGCATGATAAAAACGATAAAAAAGTAGAAAAAGTACATCATAGTTATTACGACAACTATAGTTATTATTAATTATTAGTATTTATTATGTATTACTACTTACATTTATTATTACATATTACTATTATCTATTAATTATTTTTATTTAAATATAATTTATTGTGCACTTTTTCTATTATTATATAATTACTATTATGATCACTATTAACGATTTTATAAAACGAAATTCGAAAAAAAAAGAAAATTAAATATTAAATGTTTTCTTCGAATCAAAAACGGCTTTCATTTCGATTTTCTCTTCATTTTTTTAAAATCAAAAAGAAATTTTTAATTGGATCATTTCTGAAATCTTTCACTGAAATAGTCTTAAAAGAAAACTAATGCAAAAAATCAAAATGATAAAAATTTTATCAAATAAAAAAGAAATAAGTTAGATAAGAAAATGGAGAAGATAAATATAAATAAATAAAATAAGAACAAAAACCTACTAAAGGTAACTGCTGTCTACGCTGCTCACGAACCACTTGCATCATATTATTAAGGATCGAATTGTTACGATCCAGCGAATAAGCAAATGAAAGATTTAACAATGCATATTCATGACCGGGAAAAAGAAGAGTTGACGGCGAAAATTTTTTCAAGGAAAAAATCGATTCCAGCATTTTTTGTTCATTGCGTTCGAATATTCTGCCTGAATTCAAGAAATTTTAGGTGCAAAGAGAATAGCAATATGATGCAATAGGAGTGGTTGATAACTAACCGATACCAGCAGTGAAAACAAAATCTCCCGTAAACAAGCAATCAACATTATCTTTTGTAATTAATCGGTAAATGAAATGACCATTTGTATGACCTGGAGTAGAGAGGGCTTGAAAACATAAATCATCCAGCATTATTAATTCCTCATGCTCAACGAATCTGAAATATCTTAAATACATCTTAAATTTTTTAATTTCAGTGGAGAAAACAAAAAAATACTCTCCATTTTAAAACGTACTCTTTTAAAATATATTTTTAATCTTTTTCAAAAAAAGTAAAAGGATCATTAAATTTAACGTCAGAACACAAAATCTTACTATAAGAAATTAAAGAAACCTATTGACTTTGAATGGGCGATCCAGTTTACTTCCACATATAATCAAATCAGGATATAAACGCTTCATAGACTTATTACCATAGCAATGATCCCTGAACATGAGCTTTTATTTTTCATATTTCATATTTTTCATATTCTATATTTTATTTTACAGAAACTTTTAATTATTCTCGTAAGCAATCATTTCTTCTCGTTAGAAAATTATATTATATTTATTAAAATTATTATATTTTACCTCTCTAAAACTGATACTTTGTGTCAGTCTGTTGTGACAGTCAACTGTCTGTCATATTAAAATCGTTCAAAAGAAAATTTTTCAAAAGCATTTGTTTTTATACAGCGCATTTACAAGAAAAAAGGTGATATTTAAGAATATTAATTAAAAAGAATATTAAAATATCTCAAAAAAATGAAAATCACAAAGATGTGAAATCAAAGTTAATAGCTATTACTGATAAATATAAGAGACAATTGGCCCTCATTGTTGAGAAATATCAGAACTAATTTCGCATCTAATAAAAATAATAAAAGTCGAATCACTTACTAAAGTCAATGGAAAATTTACGAGTGAAATGATCTGAAAACATTTATTTCGACTGTGGTGGTTATTATAATTTCCTATTCCATTAACAAAACAATTGATGAAAAACTGTTGAAGAATATTTTGGAAAAAAGGAAACATATTTGATTGCCATAAATATGCCAGAAAAGTATGTAGAAGAAGAGATTATTGTTGCCGATATGCTGCTCGCAGGAAACTCATCGGCATGGAAAAAAAGAGTCCGACCACGAAAATTTGAAGATGAACAAGAGACGAATATTTATTCCGTGCAGCAGGAATGCCGACTCGATCTTGCGAAGCGAAAAATTTCTGGGGAAGGATTTAGTTAAAAAAGTGTAATATTAGACAAGCAATTGCGAAAGAAAAGTTATACTCATAATCAAAGCCTTAATATGAAGAAATATTAGGTATGAAATCTTCAAATAATAGAATCATGCCAGCCTCGTCAATGGCCTGGAACGACGAATGATACTATGACTTCTCTATTATTTCTGGTTTAAACAACTACAACTTAGGATATTCGATCAAGTATCGAAGGTTCTTCTTCTTCTTCTTCTAACACCTCTAACCATTACTGGTTAAGCTGGCTCCAACGGCTACAAGGATAAGATGCTTCCAAGCGGCGCGGTCTGATGCCATCGGAAACAGTAATAGAAGCCATTCCTTTTTCTATCGTTTAAGTCCATATATTGCTGGCCCACCTATACGTTCAAAGCCTTTCCTGACCGTATAAATCCAGATCTTGATTGACCTCGCTTTTGACGCCATCCATCACACGGTTTAGCAAATAACGAACTATGCGTCAACTCCTGTGATGGACGACAGAGAATATGTTTTCTAACCAGCGAAGGCAGCATTCTATGATAACATTATTTATGCAAGTGATATTTGAACGAAGGTGGATATGATCACATGATATCTTACCCGCTCTACAGATCCGTACCTTAGACAGGAGTGGTCAAAGGCAGATAACTTCTTAATATCCTCCACTCTCATTAGCCATATCTCAGAACCATATAGTAAGATCGAACGGATCACGGCAATATAGACTTTCGTTTTTATGATGATTTCACGACGATTCCATAAAGATTTCGTCAGCCAAAAGAATTTCTAGCTACCGTGATCCGAGTTGTAATATCATCTTTTGCCTGTCCATTTGGTATTAGAGCAGATCTGAGGTATTAAAATCGGGCGCTTCCTCAACCGGCAATGAATTTACAAAAAAAGGATTTTATCAGCTCCTTGCACATAAAACGAAAAGACTTTCGTTTTATTTACATTGATCCTGAATCCGATTCTTGTTTTCTGACACGTATTACTTGCATTTCGTTATAACTGTCAGCAAAAAGGACTACATCATCAGCGTATTCAAGATCTGTGATATGATGCTCTGGACTAATTCGAACACCTCTTGAGTGCCGACAAGCAGTGTCCATTATCTAATATCGCATAGTTGAATATTATGGGAAAAAATTGTTGCTGAAATGTCTAGTAGGCTGATTCCTCGATAATTGTCGCAGTATGTCCTATCATCTTTCTTGAGAATTGGGAGCAGAATTTCTTTGCTCCAATCATCTGGTACTTTTTTCTTTTTTACTTTTACTTTTTAATTTTTTTTATATTACTTTACTATTACTTTTTTCCATACTAAAAAGTACATTTTTTGAAGGTGCCTTATGAAGGACAATGGACAGCATTTGAAAAGCTTAGCCCGAAGACCATCTTCTCCTGGAGTTTTGTTGGCCTTAAACTTATGGATAACTGAAATTATTTCTTCGTCTGTTGGATGCTCGCAATTGCAAACGTATCCTTCGGCAAACGTATCAACTATATTAGGGACAACAGATGGCGCTTCATGGTTAAGTTTGGTCTCAAAGAATTCTTTCCATCTTATGAGGCGATCCTTAATACTTCTGATTAGTACTCCATTGCTGTCTCTCACCATTTCACTGATCGTTCCCTGAGTCATAGTTACTTTATGAAGAAGGCAGAATAGTCGCCTAATCAAGCCGCCGCCTCCATTCTGAGGCCATGTCACTCCAATAGTGATTTCTGTCCCGCCTTGCCACTTTCGTTGCAAATCTTCGATGCAGGATGACATGTCACTCCAATAGTGATTTCTGTCCCGCCTTGCCATTTTCATTGCAAATCTTCGAAGCAAGATTACCTGACATTCGTGCTTTGGCAGCTTTTTCAGACAATTGGACAACTGCTTCCGATACCCAACTAGTGCACTTCCTACTAGTATGCCCTAGCGTGGAAGTAACTGATTTTTGGAGACAGTATTCATTTGCCAAAAAAATCATTGATATTTATATCACTAGATGCTTCAATAATTCGAAATGCACTCATACACTCATTGTTCCCGAATTTTTTAGTTTGAGATAGTTGAAGGATCTTGGGGTATGCTATTTTCTGCGAGTTGTCAATTTTATGCAGATCTTGACTCGAACCATAACATGGTCAGATCCATGAAGATTGTCCGTTTCAGCGCGCCGCGGTAGGAACGACTATCTAGTACGAAACTCTTTCAACGTCGAATGACTAAGATATAATCAATCTGAAGTTGGTTTTCCGGGGAGTTCCACGTGATTAAATGTTTTCTATGATGCCGGAAGCAAGTATTAGTAACAAAAAGTTCATGCTCTTCGACATAACGGAGAAGACGTTCCCCATTGGCACACCGGTCTCCGATGCCATTTGTTGAGGTCATTGCAGTTGCATTATGACCTACGCGAGCATTCCAGTCTCCGCCTGATCATGTCATATTTCGATAGAGACTTTGTTAGCAGTTGAAGTTCCGCATAGAACTTATCTTTATCCCGGTCATCTGCCGACAGTTGGAGCATAGACACTGATGACCGAGATATTGCAGAAGTTACTCTTAAAATGAGCATAGGCCATACGGTCGTTTACCGGTTTCCACTCAATCAAAGTGGAATGGGCCTTATCAGACAATCGCTACGCCATTTCATCCCGAGTTATTCGAAACACCACAGTGATATAGCCAGTATCTCTGCTCTGAACCAGAATTAATAATTGCTTGAGACCCAAAGTGAGGAAGATGGACCTCCGACAAGCAAGCGATATCCACATGACATATAGACAGAGTGTGAACAGTGATCGCTTGGCTTGCAACGTCCATAAGCGTTCTGATTCCACGTCGATACGGCTAATACCTCGCCGCGCGTGCAGAGGTTCTCCTTGGTAGGTTTCGAGCAATTACCCTTACTTACGAGCACTTTTATTTACCAGCCTTGAGATCGCTTTAAGCCCGGATTATATATTTTATCGCATGTACCACTGGGCTCGAAGTATCATGCGCGTCGGGAGACGAGACCGTCGTATCAATTGATATATATATATATATAAAAATAAATTGAGAGTATATTTTTTGAAACGACCGCTCAACAAAAATTTTTTCAAATTTTTTTATTAGGTATGGTTCAATATAGAAAATTATTTAAATTATCTATCTATATATAATTAATGCCAAAACGATTAGCAGCACTTATTAATTCAGAAAAATAATTCGAAGACGTTGACAACGTTGTTGGACAATTTAAATGATGAAATGTGAACATCTTATTAACTGATAATCGAAATGACTGGATGATTCGGATACCCACGAACTAAATTTCGATGATATTGAAGTTATAAGTAGAGACAGAAGGCAAATGGGGTGAATCCACGTGAAGATGGTCCTATCATGTTTATTTCCAGTTATTGCAAATATGTTTGAATCTCTGATAATTAAAATTTATTTTGATAATAATAATAATTTTTCTCTTTTGTCAATGGTCTTAACGTAGAACCTTTTGGTAAGCGACCACAGTACCAATCATATAAATTAAATAAATGTAATTAAGGAAGAAGCAGAAGGAATTTAATATTTCATTTAATTAATTCTACCGATCAAAAAATATTTTCTTAAATATTCCAAAAACTATATTGGTTTTAAAACCAGACTAAATTTCATACGGAAATAAATTCAAAAAACAAAAAATGGTATTAAATTTTTCTTTACTTAAAATCTTTAAAGAAAGATAAAAAGAACCCCTAAAATAAGTATAAATTAATCACACTGTCATTAAAAGACTTGTATAACTGGATAACAAATTAAAGGACTGAGCTGTACGTATCAATACTCTTTACCTCAATACCTCTTTTTCAATATGGTTCCACTTAAAGAGCCCTGCACTTTTTCATTATATATTGATTTATTACATAAAACTTGTATTAAATTCTACCACTCTCTTTCTTCTGATGTCTATAATTATTTCATGGCAGATCGAATAGCCTATCTCCAATCTAACCTCAACGGAATTATCAACTGATTATATGATAGGAAATTATCTTCATTCAAAAGTATTGAATTAAATTTTATTTTTCAGTCATTTAAAAATAGAAAAAAGTTAGCATACAAAGAGTTCAAAAGAAAGGCCTCCTTATGAGCATAGTACAACCCACTATTCCCTTAAAAATCGCAAAATCGCAAATGAAGCAAATTGAACTAACAAAGTAAAATATCTCTTAAT